TTTTTTTTTAATTTTTTGTTCCTCGAATGCCTTCAGGGCACTTTTGGCCAGGGGGAGAGGTGTGAGGTTCGAACTCCAGCAACCTGAGGCTGACAGCTTTGTGGAAGCAGCCACTTAAAGGCCTGAGCTAGGGCCAGGCCCCCTATAATGTTACTCTAAATCCAAGTCAACAATAAAAAAAGGTCACCCATCCTTTATAACAATTACTCTGTGAAAGATGTTTTGAACCTTCACATTTACATAATTCACCCTACATTCAAAAGTACAAATTATACCTAACACCTCAATTGGCTATGCCAAGTTTCTTACCCTCGAACTACATACAGACACATATACCATACTGTGTGGAATGTTTTACTGCTTTCTCGACAATAAGGGATTCCCAATCCCTAAAATACACATGTATAAACCTGCAAGAAACATCCAAACATTTACTTTAAAAATAAACTAACTCACAAGAAAAACTCTTAGAAAAATACAAGGAAACTCTTCCGGAACACTTTCCATCCTTGCATAAACACACAAACACAGCCGCTCTACACCACCAGACCATCTGTCTTAGAGACCAAAAACATCTCTTTCCATGTACAACTCACCAGTGACATTTATTAAACTTCTATTACTGAGATCATTCTTTCATTCCTGCACATAGTTCAACGCATCAGGGGTACCACAGACCTTGCCACACAGGTACACTGCCCTCAGAAGACCATCTCACTTGTCATGCTCGTTTCTTAAGCGGACTCAAACTGAACTGTAAGAGATGCTCCAATCATGCCTCCAGACACAAACTAATCTGTCAGGGGCACAACCGACTCCGCCTCCCTCGCTTACTTTCCCGCTCCGGCCCCCAAACCAGGAGCCCGCCTGTCAGGGGCACCCCTTTGCCCCCAACTGGAGGGACTTCCCGGTATGCTCAGGATCGCCTTCCCTCCCCCCTCCCCATCCTACCGCCGCTCCCCCAGAGGGTCCGGGAAATGACAGGAGATCCCAGGAGCCAGGGCTGAGTGTCAGAAAGCGTACTTAGGCCCCAAGGCCTGCTCGAACCGCTCCACTCACCGTGTCAGAGGCCGAGGCCGAGAGCGATGAGAGTGCAGGGAAGTGGGGATGAGCGGGTGGCTGCCAGGCGCCTCCGCTTCCCTCAGTCCATACCGGCTCTCTCCCGCCTGTCAAGCGGGTGAGCGGACTGGCAGAAACGCGAGACAGAAGGGAACGACGTAGGGCTCAAAGGGGAAACTGAGGGGAGGCGGGCCCCGCACCCACGACGGGGATCGTCTCCCCCTCCGCAAAGCGAACCCAAAATGGCGGCGGGAGCGGCGGCGGCGGCGGCAGAGCGGCGGCGGCTCCTCAGGAGGGAGGGAGCGAAGGGCGCTTCGCCCCCCCTCTCCGCGTCCCACTCCTCCCTCCCCGCGCTCTCCCACTGCCCCCCTCCCGACTCCAGCCGCCGAGCGCGCACGCCCGCCCGCACGCGTAGGAGTGGGTCTGGCCCCTCGCTCCCGCGCCCACCAACCACCAACGCCCCCCGTCCCGCACGCCCGCCAGCCTGTGCGCGTTCGCTCAGGGGCGCCTCCTCGCGCTAGCCCCCAAGCCTCCCCCCGCGGCCCCTGTCAAACCTGCTGTGGCGCAGGCCCTCACGCGTACCTTCGGCGGCGAGGGCGCGCGCCCAAGCCTCCTCCTCCTCCTCCTCCTCCTCCTCCTCCT